TACTTTCGTCGTAGAAACATGTTTAGCGGTTGTATCTACCAGTACCTGGTGTGTAGATACTGGAGCCACTGATCATGTCTGCAATTCTTTGCAGGGGTTCCACGAAACCAGACGACTTAGGGATGGAGAGATTACAGTCTACATGGGTGTTGATATCATTTTCAATGAACCAAGTTAAGCAACGTTGATTAAGGCGATTAAGGTCAGTATGGGGATAATTAAAATTCATGCAAGCACGTGACGTTTCCACCGACTTCAAGACGACTGCATGACGAGAGATTCAGCAAGAACCGACACCTCCATTACTTGACCGATACCTCATGTCGGTCATCACATGTCGGTCACTACATGTCGGATACAACATATCGGTTATAACTGGATGAACCGATATCTATAATGTGCCATCTCAGCACTGTAAGGCGGCGACAACTCAGCATAAATCATCATTACGTTTGTCCAAGTGGCGTGCTATCAAGAGAAGTAGCAAGAAGCCGCCTTTGACTTCAAGGAATCACAAGAAGCCGCCTTTGACCTTTCAAATGTAATGATTACTATACAGATTAATGTTGTACAAAAATATAAAAGGAGAAAAACAATTCTCCAGAGAGGGACATACGTACAATAATAATATTCATATAGAAATTCCATCTGCTTTTCAATATACACGTTTCTGTTGATTTATCTTGAGCTTATTACAAACCCCTATCAATAAGATCGTTGTTAATTTTTATTTGACAACAGTTTGGCGCTAGAAGGAGGGCTCGTTTATGTTTTTAAGTTAACTTTCACCTTTAAGTCATTTTCACGCTCGAAACCATCATGTCGCAGTCTGGTCGAGACCACGTGACTCACCCTGGCCAGAGCCAATCGACTAACCATTCCCCACGGCGTGCAACACCAGCTCCTCCGGTCACGAATCACGAACTTTCTTCAAAATCCGGAGTTTATTCAAGGTTTGACTTCACTAATAGCTCGAGCCATGCCCATGAACTCGAATACGATACCGTTATCGATGCCGTTAGCTACTAACCCAACAGAACATCCAACCCACACTCATCATGACCATGAAACACATGTAGCGACATCACATGCTACGTCGCAACCTCATCATACTTCTCCTCGTCGAGAAGAGCGGACACATGTAACTGCTAATCTCGTGGTGAACAATCAAGTCCCGGATCAACCTCCTGTGCAGGAGATGATTGCTGAAAGTCATTCTGCTCATCACCAGAGAGTTTCGCCACGTCCTAGACCCATTTCGTCAGCGCCTCACGCTCGCGAAGATTTGCGGCGCCAAATTGAACGGAATCGACTTTCAAGACATAGTGTAGAGGAAATTGAAACCCTTCGTAAACGTTTGGCTGAACTTGAGACGCGACAGAAGTCACAAGAAGATTCACCCCGACATGTCACGACGCCGGGAAATGTAATTGTCGAGGCGGATTCTCCTTTAGCCCCCGAACTCACTGCGGAGGCACTCCCTGTTAAAGTAAAAATCCCACAAATCGGCATGTATGATGGGACGTCAGATCCAGATGCACATTTGGGCCATTATACGTCCTGGATGGATTTACATGTGGCTTCAGATGCTCTGAGGTGTCGGATGTTTTCGCTTACACTAGGGCCACGAGCCCAAAAATGGTATTATACTCTCCCACCTCATTCGATTTGGAAATGGCAACAGTTACGTGCAGCTTTCCGATCACACTTTATCGGTGCTCAAATTTGTCTCATTCCGAAAGAATCGATTACCAACATTGTGCAAAGGGACGACGAGACTGTAAAAGACTACGTGGCTCGGTTCAACGACCGAATTCAGAACATGGAGCCCTGTCATCCTGAAACTTTGTTAGTAACTGCTATTGCTGGACTGAAGCCCAACTCAATGTTTCGTTGGACTTTGTGTCAAAATAAGCCTGCTACATTTCAAGAGTTTCTTGTGCGAGCTCAACAGTTCATTATTGCTGAAGAATCCATGTCGGTTCCCAGTTTCGACTTCTCGGTGAAGGAGAGGAAGGCTGAACCGGATGCTAAAAAGAAGAACAAGAAGAACTTTGGGAAAGCACAGTTTCGGAACTCCTCTAAAGGATATGAAAATACTCCAGAGTCTCGAGCTGCTCGTGATCAGTATTCAGACAACGTCAGGACAGGTTATCATGCCGTTTATTCCGCCGGAGTAGCCACCATATATGAAGAACTGAAAGGAAAGGGAATTATCCCAGACCCAAGGCCTGTGAGAACTCCTGAAGACAAGTTGGACAAAACTCGGTACTGTGCGTACCATAAGTCTCCAGGACACAATACCGATGAGTGTCTCGGTCTTTTGTCGGTACTCTTACGCTTAATCGGACAACCCCAGCTTCAAAAGTTTCGAAATTTTGATAACCTCCGGAAAGGAAGGCCCTTGGATCTTTCAGACGATGAAGATGAGGATAACCGACCTGCTAACCAGAAAAGAGCTCGTGCAAATGATAAGGAGGTTTTTATGTTTTCTACCCATGTCGGAACCTCGACTGATAACTGCAGGAAGCCTAAAATACGTGATCCCGTAGATTCTTCACATTGTATACCTCGAGTCAACTCCAATAATAAACAGTTACATACGTCTCGACGGAAAATCAAAGCCTATGCCCGGGAGGCACAGAATGCCGAGAAACGAGTCATGAATGTTGATCTTCGAGATAACATTAACAAACGGAATTGTCCTATCACGTTCAGTATCGAAGACGCTAATTTATTTGCTCATCCTCATTCCGATGCTCTTATCATAACCGCCCCGATCGGAGGGATTCCTGTTCATCGGATTTTGGTCGACACAGGAGCTTACTCAAGCATTTTGATGCTTCGCACCTTCAAGAAATTGGGTTTGGACCCAGCAGACATTAGGCCGTGTAACGACCAAATTCAAGGTTTCAATGGAAGCATTTCTTGTCCTGTTGGCGAAATATTGCTCCCTATTCGGGTTGGTGGCTTTGGACCAAAGTCCAAGATCATTATGGAAACTTTCAAAGTCTTGGATGTCCAGAACGAATATAATGTTGTAATAGGACGAACTGCACTTTATAAACATCGTGCTGCTGTGTCAATCTTCCATTATGCCCTAAAGTTCCCCACCATTAGAGGGAGAAGGCACTCATTACGGAGATCAACGAGAAGCCCGAAGTCTGATGTTGCTCTCAACCTCGCGTGACTTTCATATGATTGAAGAGCAGGATGCTGATGACTCCGCTAAGTCCAACAATTCAACTTCTGATGCTGAAAGAACTGATCAGTTCATCCCAAATACCGACATGCCTCAAGCAGATACCGACTTGCCGCTTGTTGATACCGACATCCCTATGACGTCGGTTTTGCCTGAAACATCAACTAAAGTCCTCGATCAAGAACAACCTTTTCATGAAGGAGACATAGAAATGCACGAAGATATGGACCCAAGGATGCAGTTCAAGGATGGAGGTCATCATGTCCGAGCGGAACCAGTTGAAGATATCGAAACCATTTACGTAGACGGATCGGCTCAGCAGAAATCGCTGCGCATTGGGGCCAACCTGCAAGAACCGATTCGATCAAATCTAATTCAGTTTCTCCAGTCGAACTCCGATGTGTTCGCCTGGAAGCATGAAGATATGAAAGGGATTGACCCACAAAGAGCATGCCATCGTCTAAATTTGGACAAAACTGTCAAACCCGTTATTCAGAAACGCCGGAAATTCGGCCCAGACCGTCAGAAGGCCCTTGAAGAGGAAGTAAACAAGCTCATAGACAATAAATTTGTCAAAGAAGCCAAGTACCCGACGTGGATATCAAATCCTGTTTTGGTCAAGAAAGCCACCGGCCTTTGGCGTCTGTGTATAGATTTTTCAGACTTGAATCAAGCATGCTTGAATGATAGCTACCCCATTCCACACATTGATTACATGGTAGATGCTACGTCGGGACACCAACTTATGAGTTTTCTGGATGCCTATTCAGGCTATAATCAGATTCCCATGCACTCTGATGACGCTAAACACACCTCGTTCTATTCAGCTCGAGGCCTTTATTGCTATGTCATGATGACTTTTGGATTAAAGAATGTAGGGGCCACGTATCAGAGGTTGGTCAATAAGATGTTTGCTCGCTTAATCGGCCATACAATGGAAGTTTATGTAGACGACATGTTAGTGATGTCAGAACAGGCCTCTGATCACATCGCCCACCTTTCCGAAGTCTTCGATATACTCCGAGAATATTCTATGGTGCTTAACCCCAAGAAGTGTACTTTCGAAGTTGGGTCAGGGAAGTTTTTAGGATACATGGTGAGTCAGAGAGGGATCGAAGCCAATCCCGCTAAGATTCAAGCCATACTTGACCTAGCTCCCCCGACATCTATCAAAGGTGTTCAAGCTTTAACTGGTCGGCTGGCAGCCCTCAACCGGTTCATTTCAAAGTCTACGGATCATTGCAAGCCGTTCTTTGATGCTATCAAAAAGAAGAAACCGTTTGAATGGACCTTGGAATGCCAAAACGCTTTTGACAACATTAAAGAAGTACTCTCACGGTTACCGACATTGCAGAAGCCGCTTCCTGATGAGCCTCTGTATTTCTACCTTGGTGTAACTAACGTTGCTGTTAGTGCTGTTCTTATACGACAGGATGGGCTTCAACAGTTTCCGGTATATTATTTTAGCAAAGCCTTACATGACGTTGAATTGCGATATCCGCATATGGAGAAGTTAGCTTTTGCTCTGATCATCGCTGCACGGAAGCTACGCCCATATTTTCTAGAGCATTCAATTATTGTGTTTACGACGTACCCTCTCCGACAAGTCCTCCACCGACCTGACACGTCGGGAAGAATGATTAAGTGGGCGATAGAATTGGGACAGTTTGATATTCAGTACCGACCGCGAACCGCTATCAAAGCTCAAGTGCTGTCTGATTTCATTGCTGAATTTACTCCCACCGTCAACGCATCCATTGAAGATCCGACATGGACTCTCTACATTGACGGATCGTCCACTGCTATTCGAGCTGGAGGAGGGATTGTCTTAGTTAGTCCTGATCAACAAGTATTTTGCTACTCTGTGGCATTTACCTTCCCGGCCACCAACAACGAAGCCGAGTACGAGGCTCTCTTATCAGGTTTACACTTCGCCGAATCCATGAATGTTTCCTCTCTCCGAATATTTTCCGACTCTCAGTTACTAGTCAGCCATATCAATGGTACTTACGAAGTTAAAGAACCACGGTTGTTGCCTTATTTTGATCTCGTTAAAAAGAAGCTGACACGGTTTAAAATGACGTTGGAGCATATACCTCGGTCATCCAATATTCAGGCAGATGCTCGTTCACGATTAGCCTCATCGACCGACTTGAATAATGTTGAGTTCATGCAAATCACCCAACAGGCGACCTCATCAATAGTCTCTACCGACGTCGTCATGGTTGACGCTACCCCATTAACTTCAAATCCTACGTGGATGGATCCGATCATTGACTATCTTCAAACCGGGGCCTTACCTGAAGACCCAAAAGAAGCTCGCGCTCTTCGTGTTCGTGCTGCTCATTTTACCATCGATCAGGGAACATTATATAAGCGTGGATACTCTACTCCATTGCTTAAGTGTTTGCCAGAGACTGACGCCCAACGAGTTCTCCAAGAAGTACACGAAGGAGTCTGCGGTACCCACCAGGGAGCTCAAACTTTATCCCACAAAATTCTCCGACAAGGCTACTACTGGCCTACCATTAGGAAAGACGCCACAGATTGGGTGCGGCGGTGCCACAAGTGCCAAATATTTGCCCCTAACGTTAACCAACATCCTGAACTCCTCAAGTCGATATATAGCCCATGGCCGTTTGCAAAATGGGGAATTGATTTGATCGGCCCACTTCCAACAGTAAAAGTAGGAGTTCGGTTTGCTATTTTAGCTGCCGATTTTTTCACTAAGTGGGTTGAAGCCGAGCCTCTTGTAACCATCACGGAGCAAAAAATGATTGATTTTGTATGGAAGTCAATCGTTTGTCGGTTTGGAATTCTGAACTCCATCATAACCGACAACGGTCGTCAGTTTGAAGGCAAGCGATTTGAAAGTTTTTGTGAAGATTACGGCATCAAACATTTCTTCTTGTCACCTTATCACCCACAAGCAAATGGACAGATAGAGGCCGTAAATAAAATTATCAAGAATGGTTTGAAAACTCGGCTTGAAGGTACAAAAGGATTATGGCCTGATAAGTTGCCTTATGTCCTCTGGTCTTACCGGACGACAACAAGAAATTCAACTGGAGAAACTCCGTTTTCGTTAGCTTACGGGACTGAAGCTGTGATACCGGTTGAACTTGCTTCTCCGACATATCGGGTCACTCACTTCTCTGAAGAAACCAACTCAGCAAACTTGAAAGCCAGTCTCGATTTGGTCGATGAGATACGGGCTGACGTCGAAATTCGCAATGCCGCTTATAAACGACGCAGTGAAAAGTACATAAACTCAAGATTCAAGCCACGCTCATTTGTCAAAGGAGACCTTGTTCTGAAAAGAGTCACTGGGGCCAATGTCGGCCCGTTACAACCGAAGTGGGAAGGACCCTTTAAAGTAAATCGTCCGATTTCTAATGGCACCTACCGACTTGAGACGTTAGACGGTGTTCCCCTTCAATATCCCTGGCACACGACATATCTGAAGAAATACTACCAGTAAACCTGATAGCGAAGGTTCTGTCCCTGACGTGTAAAAAAGTTTTTGTCCTACTCCTGTACAAGAACCATGTTTTGCTATCAATAAAAATTGTGTGACGAACTTCTATAATTTGTTCAATCACTCGGACCACAATAAATCGGTCCTCGCTGCTAAGGCTAAACGTGTTTCATACCCTGAAGATGGTATGACCTAGCCAAACGCAACAAAGCCGGATACTTCTAAGCCCTGAAGATGGTTTGGGAGGCTTATGCTCTATAATATCAAATTACGACGTTGATTTGGTGAGCTGATCACAATAAGTGTTTACAATAAAAAGCAAGTCTTTTATGACTTGTTCCAATAAAGAGTTTGCGGATGTCGGACAAACCATAAATTGTGCCGACACCAAAAATTTAACCAAAAATTTGATATCAAATCCCGACGTTGATTTGATGAACTAACAATAAAATCCTTAAGTTCTTTGAGACATTCAAGGACTTTTACAATAAATGCTTCCAATAAAGGCAAGTTTATTGATGTCGGAAATACCGTAAGATTACACCGACGTCGGTAGTTCGTCTAAATTATTGCATTAATGTTATGTCGGAAATTGTAGTTTAACAAACACTTATTCACCTTTTCCGACATACTTTGTCTCGTTACAATGATAAGTCATATTGAAACACTTGTAAACCATCAAACATTAATATTCCATTCCAGAACCAAAAGTTGTCGATACATTCCGAGAAAAATAAACAAACGACAAAATAAATAAAAACATTAAGTTTCTTTGGTCCCCGATGACGACGCCCCTCCAGACTGAGGAATTCCGACGTCAGCTTTGTCCTTATCAACAGCATCCATATGATCTATTAATCTCTGGCTCAAGCGCTGAATTACGTCCTCTTCCTTCTCTTCCAATGCGCGGACGATGTCACTTTCCTTGATCACGATGACATCATCATCTTCATGCAGCACACGGTCGTCATCGGAAGGAGCCGGATCAGTTACCCATCCTTTAGCTTTGGCGTCATCCTCCGCCACCTTGCGTGAAGCAAAACTAATAATCGCGCCCAAAAGCTCCTCATCAGACAGGCCCTCAAATGTTTCTGTAACGAAAGCCTCAGCAATCGTCTCCACACATATGTTAGCCATTTCAGGCTTCTTGGCCTTCTCCACTTCGAGGACCATGTCGATAAATGACCGACGAATCTTTGCTTTCCGTTCCTCCGACAAGGGTATCATGTCTAACTCCAGCATCCGACTTTCCTTCTGTTTTAGAAGTCGGTCAGCAAAGTCTCTCTCATCCTGGTCGGCCGGAATATGGGCGTTCTTCATCTCGGGATTGAAACCATGTTTCTCCATCTTATGAAGAAGGAAAATACGCAGCTCATCCATAGTGTATACGCCGCTTTCTACTCTGTCGATCACCCAACGCAAAGCTAAGGCGGCGTTCAGTTCCAGCTCCCATTCCGTTACTGCATTGGCATTAGATGTGTTGTCGGACTCGGCCACCGACTTCTTGCCGACTTCGATACCCTCTTGGAATTTGAGCTCAGCGGCGACAGCCATTTCTTGACGGAGCTTATTCATGGCCACTTCATGAGCTTCACGACTTCGGATCAACTCAGCATCCTTATCGGATCGATCCTTGCGGACAGCCTGAAGTTCAACCTTTAACTTTGTGAGCTGCTCGTCTTTCTCCTTGGCTACCTCGGCAACTTTGGCTAGCTCAACCGATGTGAGATCATGAGCTAACAATAAATTCTCCTTCTCGGTTTTAAGAGCGCTCACCTCCGTTCGTGCCGCTTGCAACTCAGCATTCTTTTTCGATAAGGTCGCCTCATAGCGAGATTTCTCGTCCTCCAGAAATGCTATGGCGCCTTCCTTCAAACTCAGTTCATGTTGTTTCTCGTCAAGCTCCTGCGCTCTTCCCCGATAACTCTCCTCGGCAGCAATAAAGCTAACCAGCGCCCGTCCTAAGCATCCTCGAGCATAACTGAATTTTTGGTCATCAGGCAGAGACGCGATTCCCGCGTGAGTTTTCGGATCCCACGACATCAAGGGAACCTTTGCCGCCTTGACTGCTTCATCGGGGAACCGCTGATTGTTTGTGATTTTTGGCTCGACGACTGTCTGGAACATTGGGAACCAAGGGTCGAACACGCCCTCCGGCAGCATCAGCTCTGCCGCTTTCTTCTCATTTATTTTGAGGAAAGAATCCCTCAGAATGATTTCGGGTTCCTCTTCCTTATCCTTGCCAACGCCAGTGTCTTGTTTTTTCATCATCCTCTCCGCCACGTGAGATACGCTGGATCTCTTGCGACGGTGAACCACTGGCACGTCGGGCTCTCCTGGCGCTTCTTGGGAGATTTCTGGCTCAACCACAGGCTCATCAACCGACGCCATTATTTGCTGCAGTGGCGCCACCTCAAGTGGCGGGACGTCGATAACTACTGGCTCATTCACAATCGCCGGCGTAGGCTCTGTCCTTGTTGACGATGGTTCACCGACAGCACTTTGAGATCGGTTGGGGTTTTTCTTCCATGCTTTAAGGAGGTTCATGCGTCCAGCCATTTCGGTTGATTGAAGATTTTTGTTTTTACCGACTTTGTTCTTTAAGTCGAAGTTCGGATTACGTCTCCGGTGTTCTTCTGCTTCTGCGGGATCTCCGAAGCCAAAATACCCCAGCAATGGATAATAAACTGTTGCAGCAAAGTCAAAGTTAGACCGATTTCGGTACCACGAACAATGCTACGAGATAAGCGAAGAAATTACCTGGTAGAAATGAAGAATTAAGTATCCCGGGAGATATACCAGCCAACTCTAAACGGGAATCTTTCACAAGTCGCTGATATCGTCGTTTGTTGTGAGACACTTCAAACAATTTGTCCACTCGATCGTATAGAAGACCTTCGAACTTGGGCTCTCTCTTCCCGGTTGGTTTTGCTACAAGGTCACAAAAGTCCACCTGTTAGCGACAACAAAAAACAAAGTATTAATAACCGAAGTGAAGCAAACGGAAATAACTTACAATAACCAGATTTAATGGCCATTGGGATGCTTGTCCCGTCGGCAAGAAGATCATTAGCGAAGTCGGGGCACTGCCAATCTCCACCGACCCACAACC